ATTATTTCAAAAATGGAACGAATAATTTAGCAAAAGAAATTTTGTTTACGTTCCAAAACAATTGGTGGACAAAAGGGTTAATGTAAAAAAATTTGAGGTTATACGATCAGCTGATTTGGAAATAAGAACAGTGTTACCAAGTGTGTAAGAAATTATTGTCCAATATGATAAAAAATGGCGGGAAATTTTAAAAAAGTACAAAACCCATTTTTCTCGGTTTATTTTAATTAATTATTAACAATTATTGTTCTTATTGGCTCTATAAATATAACGAAAAATTATTTCAAAAATGGAACGAATAATTTAGCAAAAGAAATTTTTTTTACTTTCCATAATCATAGGTGAATAGCGAAATTAATGTGAATAAAATTTTTGAGGTTATACAACCATTTGATAAGAAGAGCAGGGCTACCAACTGTAAAAGAAACTATAACACACTCATTAAAAATGGCGGGAAATTTCAAAAAAAAAAGTACAAAACTAATTTTCAATATATTGCAAAAATTTTATAATATCAAAAATCGGTTTATTGAAAATTTTATTTAAAAAATTAATTTCAAAAATTCGAAAATTAATTTTAGGTATTATATTTATACGTTTCAAAAATTCTATATAAAAAAAATGGTAGGAATTTTTGTGCATATTCATTATAGTAGATTATCCGTTTGAAAAGCTCGATTTTGCTGCTTTCTCTCTAGGCAACAGTTTCCGTTGCATGTCTTGACTCGAACGTCATTAAAAGTTCTATTATAATTAGATTATCCCATAGCAAACTTCGACGTAAAGTTCAATCGTGCGAAGTGGCTGTTTAAGTTCCTTTACAACGGGCGATAGGTTTTGACGATGAACACTTGGTATATGAAGAATAATTCAAAAATTATTCCCATTTTTTTTTTTTTTTTTTTTTTTTTTTTTTTTGTATTGGACACTAAAATTGACTTTAAAAATATTGTAAAGAATTTTTTTTTCCTTTTTTTCTTCAATAAAACGAAAATTGCTTTTGTATTTTTTTGAAATTTCCCGCCATTTTTTTTAATGATTTGACTAAAGTTCCTTTCATAGTTGGTAGCCCTGATTTTCTTATCAGCTGATAGTATAACCTCAAAATTTCATTCACATTGTCGACCTATATTTTTCGAAATTATATTATTATGTATTATATATTATATATTATATTATATTATATTTGAAAAATACATAAAATAAGTAAAATACAAAATTTTATACTGTTTTCTTTTTGAAAGAAATTTGATTTTAGTTTCAAAAAATTTTAATCGTATAAATAATAATGTTTTTTTTGATGAAATTCTAATAATAATAATAATTCTGTATATGGTCAAAATCACCGACTGAAAGTTTACTTTCTAATTTCCAACCCTTCGGGGAACCATTACACTGTTTATGCACCTGAGGGCAAGACATTTGCATAAACACTATAATGGCGTTCCAATGATTTGATCTATCCTGGAACTATGTAAAGGCAAGTTGGGATGTGCATAAATTTATGTTGTAAAGTCAAGTCATTAGAATTTGCATCTATTCATATTTAAAGAAAAGAGAGGTGGTGATATATTAACGTTTTTTTTGTAGTATTCGTTTATTTATGATGTAAACTAAATGCCACAACTATTTTTTTTTTTGAAATTTGACTAAAAAAAATTTTCAGTTAGATTTCTACATTACCGACAGAGGTAGTTTTTTTTGTCGGTAAATAAATTATTGAAAATTCATTGAATTCGACTGAATCTTGTTACTCGGGGGTTTTTGGGGTCGCTGATTACGAATCCGATGTTAGTTTTTCAAAATTTTAAATGGCGGATCCAATATGGCGGACATAAATTTAAAAAATGGTCCAATTTTCTTGTAACTTGGTACTCGGGGGTTTTTGGGGTCGCTGATTACAAATCCAGTGTCTGTTTTTCAAAATTCAAAATGGCGGATCCAATTCAATAGAAAATTTAGAAAAAATTTATTGTCCACGTTCTTTCCCAAAAACTTTTAGTGATATTTTAGAAATTTTTGTAGTATTCACTTATTTATGATCTAAACTAAATGCCACAACTATTTGCTGTTGAAATTTGTCTAAAAAATTTTAAGTTAGATTTCTGCATTACCGACAGAGGTAGTTTTTTGTGGGTAAATAAATTATTGAAAATTCATTGAATTCGCTTGAATCTTTTTACTCGGGGGTTTTTGGGGTCGCTGATTATGAATCCGATGTCTGATTTTAAAAATTCAAAATGGCGGATCCAATATGGTGGTCGTAAATTTTAAAATCGTTCTAATTTGCTTGAATCTTGTTACTCGGGGGTTTTTGGGGTCGCTGATTACGAATCCGATGTCAGATTTTAAACATTCAAAATGGCGGATCCAATATGGCGGACATAAATTTAAAAAATGGTCCAATTTGCTTGTAACTTGTTACTCGGGGGTTTTTGGTGTCGCTGATTACGAATCCGATGTCAGATTTTAAACATTCAAAATGGCGGATCCAATATGGCGGACATAAATTTAAAAAATGGTCCAATTTGCTTGTAACTTGTTACTCGGGGGTTTTTGGGGTCGCTGATTACGAATCCGATGTCATATTTTAAAAATTCAAAATGACGGATCCAATATGGCGGTCGTAAATTTAAAAATCGTTCTAATTTGCTTGAATCTTGGTACTCGGGGGTTTTTGGGGTCGCTGATTACGAATTCGATGTTAGTTTTTAAAAATTCAAAATGGCAGATCCAATATGGCGGTCGTAAATTTAAAAATCGTTCCAATTTGCTTGAAACTTGATACTCGGGGGTTTTCGGGGTCGCTGATTACGAATTCGATATTAGTTTTTCAAAATTCATAAACGCTGATTTAACACGGAGAATAAATTTACTAAAATTGCACTTTTAACTTATATGAAAGTAACTAAAATTAATAAAAATCATATAACATATATGTGATGCAGCAAAAAAAAAAGAAAAAACAAATGAAATAATCTACTTAAAAATTAACAATAAATAATATAATTGTGACATAAAGTTAAAAAAAAAAATTATGACTTTTCGATGTTGAGATGCAGCAGTAGCAATATAGCAGGAAATCGTAAATTCAAAATGTCGAGAGCTTTTCATTGAGATAAGTATCAGTAAGGAAGTTAGAAACAGGAGCTTTATTTTATATCGATAAACTATGAAAGAGATACAAGCGTAAAATTTGCATATCACGGAAATGTTTATTTCCAGTTATTGTTGGTCTTTTCCGTTTTTTACCCCGTTATATACTTGTGTAATAATTAATCCCCGTATATATATGAAATTCACATGTATATAAATAAATATAAAGAGAGGAAATATCTTGTAAAACAGGATTAATTTTTAAAAAAAAAAATTTTAACAATAGGAAAAAAACAGCAAACAGTATTATTGTCTTTTTCAAATTTATATAATAAAAATAATTATTATAATAATAATAATTATTATTATTATAATTTTTTTATTTATTTAATTATAGTAAATTATAATAAATTTATTTATTTAATCATAGTAAATTATTGTAATTGTTGTAATATTAATTGAATTCCAATGCAATAATTAAATAATCAATTAATTATTTTGCTTAATTAAATATTCTACTTTTTAACATAATAGTAATTGTCAAATTTAGTTCACTGTATATAATCAATTTATATATATATATTATTTGTAATGTTTAGCAAATGTATAATTAACAGATGTTGAGTAGAACAATGTTGGCAAGTATATAATTAAAACAATATCCAGGTTTTGTTGATATATAATTAAAAGGATATTTATTGTAAATTGTAGTTTTTTTTTTTAAAATGTTTCCCTATAATTAAATTAACATAATAGATTTTTTAATTATATACAAAATTTTCAAAGTTTATTTAAAAAGATATGGTTAAGTTTAGAAAAATAATTTTTTATTTAAAAGATTTTAAATTAAATAAAAAAATTATTTTTTAAAAAGATTTTAAATTAAAAAAAAATTATTTAAAAAAAAAGGGGGGGAAAATAAAATAAAATCAATGGAAAGAAAAACAGAATTATATAATAATTTATCTCCCCAAGAGTACCTATTTTTAAATTGAAGGGATCTATAACTGCTGTTGTTATTAAATATTATCTTCACTAAATCTCAACATCAAATACATCAACTTTATTAATGTTTTTATACAATGATACAACTTGTTGATACTCAATTTTGATAAGTAAATATCATTAGTCATTGTCATTAATACATAGAGAAAGAGAGAAAGAGAGAAAGAGAGAGAGTCTGATCTTATTATCAATACAAAATCTAAAAATAGATGCACGATTTTGATACATATCCAGTAGAATTATACCTCAATCTAATGATGTAAATCTTTCAATGATTTACAATATAATTTTCATATTTTTTTAAAAATTTATTTTATTGAATTTAAATAAAAATTAAAATTAACCTAAATTATCCCCAAGATATCGAATCACTTCGGATACAGATTTTAGTAAAATTTTATTATTGTTGTTGTTATTACAAAAATTAGTATTGTTTCATTGAAATATAATTTATCATTCTATTCACATGGACATATATCATTGTTACCTAAAGACCCCCTACTTAATTAGACATTAAATATTGATACTTAATGTTGCCATCTAATGATAGCACTTAACGCTGATGCGAAATGCTAATACATTATGTCAAAACCCTTTATGTAGCTCTGAAAAGCCAACAGATTATGTTACATTACATTTTACTATCGAAAATAAATGCACCCCATACATATACAAACAATCAATATCCTCAACAATATTAAATTACATTGATACATTTCAAGAATTATGACATATATACAACCGTTGAAATACATCTCTCAATACGTCATCTGTTTCTAATTTTTTAACGGATTAGAAAATACAACGGAAATTAACAATTTCCAAAAAATTTTAGTGAAAGAAACAATTTTGAGAAAATGGAATTAACAGACAGTATTTAAAAAAAAAATCCCCTTTACCTTCATTCTTATTGTTGCCAATTAAAATCTCCGTCTCCTCGAAATCTGATTCCTTGAGTAATTCAAGTGGATCCTTTGGCAAAAGAACACCGTCAATTGTTGGCGCCGATGGAAATCCAAGTAATCCCCAATAGCTATTCCATTGTTGTACGGATATTGTTTTTGCATCAACATAACGCATACAAGCCATAACGTGTGCGGGATTTTCCATAAGTAACGATGAATTACAACCACAATCTTCGACAAGTATTTTAGCTACTTCATCTGCTTTTTCCGCTGTCATATAACTCCATGGTGCATTTAATGTACCACTTTGAAGAATACCCCTTCTCACTAGACCCTTTGTTGCAGGCGATATTAAATGTAATGACACCGAACCACCACCAGCTGATTCACCGAATATTGTTATTAAATCCGGATTACCACCAAATGCAGCAGCATTATCCTTGAGCCATTGTAATGCCATTATCTGATCCCAAAGACCCATATTGCCCGGTGCCTCTTGACTATTTGGAAAATGTTGATTCAAATAAAGAAAACCAAATGCACCAACACGATATTGCATTGATGCAACAATTGTATTACTACTAGCTGCCATAATATCAGCTTCATAAACATCTAACGTAGCCGTACCACTCATATAGCCACCACCATAAATCCAAACAAGTATTGGTGCACCATGTTTTTCCGTACCAACTGATGGTGCACCACCTTGATGTCTCAATCTCACTCGTTGCGGTACCCATATATTTAAATAGAGACAATCTTCAGAAATATTTGTATTTGGATTCCACATTGCTTCACCCTCAAAACCAGGGAAATATTCATATTTCTCCTGAAAACAACAATTTGGTAATGTTGTTGCATCTAAAATGCCATGCCATGGATCAACTGGTTGTGGTTTACGAAATCTTAATGGTCCAATTGGTGGTTTTGCAAATGGTACACCATAGAATACATGTACCTCATGACCATCGAGTACAGTACGTGAAAAACCTCTAATCAATCCACTTGTCGTTTCAACCACCAATGAATCGGTATTTGATTGTGAATTTCCTATTGATGATTGAAGAAAGAAAATTAATAAAATATTGACAAACATTGAGGCCACCGCCATTCTGGACGTTGCCCAGGTGGCCGTGAATCAACAAGTTTAAAATTCGTTTTTACAAACAAAACAAAAAAAAAATTTGGAGAATAATCTTAATTAGGAGACATTTTTTCCCGCACTTCACTCCACTATTTTTTTTTCTTTTTTATCACCTGTCTTACGCACTAACACTAAAAAAAAAAATTCAGATAATATCTACCCTTGTAAATTTACGACATTTGGAGGGTGGTTTTTTTTAGGGTTCTATTCCATAATTATCTTTTCGTTATCTAGTCTTTTTCTTCTTTTTTTTTTGGGTCTACTCTAGTTCGATTTTAAATATTCGCTGTTTCCTTTTTTTGGCAAATAGGGGATTATTTTATTTTTTTTTTTAATTTTCCTTTTTTGGTATTAGCCTCGTGAATTGTTGAGCTCAGGTCATCAAAAAAATTATGAATAGAAGACGCGGCGGCCGGCGTGCCGCGATGCACGGGGTCGACTGATCTGACAGTAGTCGGAGGTGGTGCGAGGTACCGGAGGCAGCAACGGTGGCGGCGGCGGCGGTGGTCGAGTTTTCTGGTGGTGGTAATAGTGACGCGAAGGTGGCGCACGCCTCGTACGGTATCCTATGATCCTTCCTTTGGAAAGATCTACAGAGAGAAAGAGAGAGAGACCCTTTCATGCCACGTGAATCATACTCGAGGAGTGCGCGCCTAAGCAGTGAGATAGAGAAAAGGAAAAAACAAAAATCTGGGGTTCAGACTAATATACACCTATTTTAGCAAAGTATTCTTGTCAATTTGCTGCTATTTAGCAGAATTAGCCTAATTTTTAGGCAAAGAATTCTGTTTGATACCATTTGTAATAATCTTCTAATAGTTTGAATATAATTTTTGTTTTTTTCAGCCTTACGGATTTACTAATTTTTACCCAATGTGATGGCTTTTTTTTGGTGCTAATTATTTTTTATAATTTGAACAATTTCGCACCCTTACGGATGAACCAAATTTACCTAATGGTACTGAATTATTTTTTAAAAATTTTGAACAATTTATCGTCATATCTGGCGATTTTTTAGATTGACCCAATGATACAGTTTTTGGTACTAATTATTTTTTAACAATTGGAACAATTTACCATTAAATCTGTCGCCCTTTCAGATTGACCTAATGATACCGTTTTTGGTGCCTAATTATTTTTCAAAATGTAAACAATTTGCCGTTGTATTTTGAAGCCTTTACGGATTTTTCAAAATTTACCTAATGGTGCCATTTTTAGTACTAATTAATTTTCATAATTTTAACAATTTATCGTATTTTGGAGCACTTACGGATTAAACAAATTTACCTACGGATTTTATAAATTTGCCTAATGGTACCATTTTCGGAACTGTAATTGAGATTGACCCAATAGTGCCATTTTTAGTAATAATTAATTTTCATAATTTTAACAAAATTTATCGTATTTTGGAGCACTTACGGATTAACCAAATTTACTTACGGATTTTATAAATTTGCCTAATGGTACCATTTTCGGTACTGTAATTGAGATTGACCCAATAGTGCCATGTTTAGTAATAATTAATTTTCATAATTTTAACAATTTTCCATTGCATTTGACGCCATTACGGATTAATGAAATTTATCTACGGATTTTATAAATTTACCTAAAGGTGACATTTTTAGTACTAATTCAGATTGACCCAATGGTGCCTTTTTTGGTAGTAATAATTTTTTATAATTTAAACAATTTGCCGTTGTATTCGGAGCCCTTATGGATTAACCAAATTGACCTACGGATTTTATAAATTGGCGAAATGGTACCGTTTTTGGTACTAATTCAGATTGACCCAATAGTGCCATTTTTGGTACTAATTATTTTTCAAAATGTAAACAATTTGCCGTTGTATTTTGAAGCCCTTACGGATTTTTTAAAAATTTACCTAATGATGCCATTTTTAGTACTAATTAATTTTCATAATTTTAACAATTTATCGTATTTTGGAGCACTTACGGATTAAACAAATTTACCTACGGATTTTATAAATTTGCCTAATGGCACCATTTTCGGTACTGTAATTGAGATTGACCCAATAGTGCCATTTTTAGTAATAATTAATTTTCATAATTTTAACAATTTTCCATTGCATTTGACGCCGTTACGGATTAATGAAATTTATCTACGGATTTTATAAATTTACCTCAAGGTGCCATTTTTAGTACTAATTCAGATTGACCCAATGGTGCTTTTTTTGGTAGTAATAATTTTATATAATTTTAACAATTTGACGTTGTATTCGGAGCCCTTACGGTTAAATTTGGCGCCCGTACAGATTGACCCATTGGTACCTTTTTTGGTACTAATTGGTATTCGCAATTTAAACAATTTGTTATATTTGGTTCCGTTTTAGATTAACCAAATTGACCCATTGGTACCATTTTTGGTAGTAATTATTTTTTGTACAATTTTTTAAAATTTAACCTTTTTAGGCGACACTTACGGATTAACCGAATTTATCTAGACCGTTTTTGGTACTAATTTTTTTTCTTTTTTGCAATTTAAACATATATTTTCAAAAAAAGTTGTTCTCCTATATAAATTTAACATTAATAATTTTACTAGATTCTGAAATTGGACAGCTGGAGCAAAATATATTTCAATTTAATTTTTATAATTTAAATAATTATGAAATATATTTTAATTTTTTTTGTAATTAAAATACATAATTAATTTTTAAAAAATGATATACGTATTTAATTTTTAAAAAATGATATACGTATTTAATGCTTAAAAATTGAAATACATATTTAATTTTTAAAAACGAAAGCACAGATTTAATTTTTTTAAAAATAAAAATATATTTCAATTTAAAAAAAAAAATAAAATTAAAATATCATTCTTTTTCTGTCTTATGTAAAATTAACAATAAATGAAAAATAAGCTTTTCATTTAATAACCATATCATTTTTCCACACGGAAAAAAAAGAAAAAGTAATTTTTACTACTTTCATAAAAAAGGGGAACTGTATGAAGTTTCTGCGCATCTCTGGAAACTTTTAATCCAAAAATAGTAAAATTTACTCCAGAAATAGTAAAAATTACTATACGGAACTGTAAAATTTATTACAATAATAGTAAATTTTTGGTGTAAAAGTTGCCAGAGATGCGCAGAAACTTTGGACAGTTCCAGTTTTATTATGAAAGTAGTAAAAATTACTTTTTTTTCCGTTCATGCATATTTCTGAAAAAAATACTAATTAATTAATTATAATAAATTATACAAGATATTCGTTTTATGTATTGTTTTAACCTAGTTTTTATTGAACTTTTCTTTTTATAACACGCAATTGTGAATAAACCTATATTTTCATGAATTGAATAAAAATTTTATTCTTCCCTTATTTTTTCTTTTTAATTTAATTTAATTTACCTTTAAAAAATTTATATTTTTTTTATTTTATTTATTTAATTAAAAATATTATTTTCAGGTTAGGATCACATTGCACTGAATTAAAAAAAAAAATTTTTTATCATCTTGAGAGCGTTAATTTTTTAACTATGTATATGAAACTATAAAAAAGTAAAGGATACAAAATCAATTAATTAGTCGCAGAAAAATTGGAGCATTAAAATATATAATGGATTTTATAAAACATATATATTGAAAAATTAAATAGTATAATGATAAATAAATAATTTACAACTCGGAAGATTTAAAAAATAATTTATTATGTTAAATTAAAATTTATTTCTACATATATATACAATATTATGTGTAAGCATAAAATGGAGATAATTAACTATTGTTAAAGACTTTCATTAATATGAATTTAAAAGTTATTTATTTTCATGTTACACACAGTAAATTATTATCATAATTAAATAAATTATCGCTCTCTTTATATCAGCTAACATTGGATATTAAAAATAATATCGTCTTTTAATTGGCAAAAAAAAAAAAAAAAAAAAAAAAATTTACATTGATTAACGTTATTTGCAATTTACGATAAAGGATAATTTTTTGTCCCCGTTAAAAATGATATAAAATTAAATGAAAAAGAAATTTTTTAATAATTAAATATTGTAACAAAAAACTTTGTCATTTTATAAATAAAAAAATTTAAAAAAAAATTTATAAATTTTATTATAAATATGTATATAGTAAATTTAAAATTAAATTTTCCTTTTTTTTCTAAAGAGAAACGTTGAAAGTATAGGCCATCGATTTAAAAATCTCTTGAAAAAAAAATATATAGTAAATGTTCTCTCCTTTTGTTGTTTGAACCATTCCTTAGAAATGTTAAAGACTTTTCTTATCGCGGAGTAGACCGTATCTTTCGTAATAAGCCTTCCATCAGGGAATTGGTAGCATCAAAAAAAAAAAAAAAGAAAAAAAAAGTAATGAAAATGTAAAATTTATTAAGAAATAAAGATTTAAATGTCAAGTTTAGTTTTCAAATGAAAAGTATACAAACAAAATTTATTTAATTCAAAGTAATTCAAATTATTTGAAAAATATTTAGGTTCAAATATTTTTTTTTTTTTAAATTGGATCCAAAAAATATCACACTTATTTAAAACAAATAAATTTTATTTGTTTCAAGTAAATAATTAACTGAATCTAATAAATAAATTTATTTAACACAAATAATAATAATAATAATAATAATAATAATAGTAATAATAATAATAATAGTAATAATAATAATAGTAATAATAATAATAATAATAATAATAATAATAATAATAATAATAATATAAATTATTTTAAATTATTTATTTATTTCACCAAAATATTTGGTATTTTTGATACAATTAAAATTTATTTGACAAAATAATGTAATGTATTTTATTGATTCTAGTACACTATAAATTATTTAATACAAATAATGTATTATTTAATATACTAGTAAATTATTTTATGAAAACAAATAAAAAAAAATATATTTGGATCAATTAAATATTTATTTCAAAACAAAATATAGTAAGTTCTTTGAAACTATTCATTTATTTATTTTATACTCAAATATTTTATTTTTGGATAGAAATAAAAATTAATTTACCGAAATTTATTTTATTGATTTAAGTAAACTAAATTACAAATAACGCAGTATTTAATGATAATAAATTATTTTATAAAATCAAAAAAATATTTGGATAAAATAATTAGTTTATTTATATATGTGAAAATTATGAAAAATAAATATTTCTAAAATATTTTTTTTCTTTTGTTGTAAAAATAAAAAAGAAATTAATTACAAAATTTATTTTAATAATTATTAAATTTAAAAAAAAGAATTTTTTAAAGAAATAAAATAAATAAATGTTTTCCTTGGATCAGCAATATGTTTCACTAAAACAGCGAAAGTTTTCATTATTCTAGAGAATCATATCGCTGTTTCAGATAAAAATTTTTTTTCGTGCAAATATTAAAAATATTATAAATATTATAAAAAATTATCGTATTATTTGGCGCCCACAATTAAAATATTTAATAAACTATTCAAAAAAAAAAATAAAAAAAAAAAACGAACTCAAGCA